TTACAAAAGACGGTTTACCATCAGCGAATCCATTAAAGATCCTTCATATCGCTACATAATGATGCCAATAGTAAGAGAATAATGTGACTATGAAAAACATCATTTTTACCAATGTATTCCAAAATAATTGATTTCACGCATTTTGATTGAAAGAGAGAATCCCAGCTGCACTTCTCCATCACATTGTGTTCCCTGTGATCACTTCTGATCACCTGTACAATTTTCGTTAAGCGTACATTTTATCTTTTTTCACGGTCTTCCGCATGTCTCTGTAGGAGGCCCAGTGCGTCGCTTCCCACTCAGGTTTCACTCAAGGGTCGTGCATATCAGGTCATTCAACAGTCTCCTCAATGTATTTTCAAATCATCTTCTCTTCCTTCTGCCTATATGTTGAGTAATATGCAGACCTTTCAGAGTTAATTGCTGTCAGTTCTTTCTGCCCAGTCCTGTGATCGTGAGTATGAACCTAGCAAAGGCAGATATTGATGAAAGTCTACATTTACGTTTTAGAAACTCATATAGTGACGCCAAGATCTCTGGACCATAAATGTAAAAAATTTTGATCTTCTTCCTTGTACGGAGTGTTCTAGATCTTCACTGGGATTTAAGAATAATGAACATTTGCCTTGCTTTCCCAATTCCGGCTGGCTATGGCATTCTGCGTTTGAAACAAGACGTGCCTATGTAAGCGAAAAAGACCAACTCGTTTGGAAATCGTCCATCGATGGAGATTGATCCTTGTTAATATTCGTGAAATACTGTCACTTCTATTTTCCCTGAAGTTATATTTTCGTTTCTAATGTTCGTATATGCATACACACATTGAAATTTATATACAATATAAGATAAGGTTGTATCAATCGGGCAAAGTTGAGGTTTATGTTGAAGCTTTAGATTTCTCTAAAATGTGCCCCGTAAAACGTTTTACACATGACAGTATTTAGTCTCTATCTTAAAATCATACTGCTTATTTAACATAGGTAAGAGGATATGATAGAGACATCTATCTTGGAGATGGATAAAACAGTGAGATTTGAATGTGACTGTCATCTACGCAGTTTCGAAAACTTCAACAAACATACTTTTTTACAGTGCTTCAATCAGTCATTTATTATAATTATCAATAGCTTCAGTTGTACAGATACTTGGAACTATCTGTGACAAAGGTTTTATCCAGAACCTTTAATTTTGAAATGTGGTTAGTGGTGAAAATTTGATTATAGCCATGTCACAGCAGGCTTTTTACAAATTGGTTGCTTTACTGAGCCAACTTCTCTTCACATAAAAAGCATCTCTGAGAATGCAAAAACCATAAGTGGAAAAAAGCCAGCGAATTATAACTTTTTACTTCACATGAAGGAGTGGTGTAGTCTTGAACACGGTTGAGTGGATTCAATGGACGTTTTGTGTCATCTTGCTTACAACACATCATGTTGATTTCTTTGATGAAAGACGGCTAACTACCACTCTGTCAGAAAGACATGATTAGAAAAAGTAGACGACGAAATCGATTTTATGAATGATGGCAAACATTAATTCAACAAATCTCATTTTCTTATGTTAACAATATCTAATTACACGCACAAACAATAAAATGTTGCGTAATATTTAAATAGCGCTAACACCTCATCATGTACACATGTTAAACAGATAAGGTTACAAGACAATATGTGCTTTCATGAATATGTTTAGCAGAATCAAATATAATTAATAAGAGCTGTTTGGAAATTAATGCATGTGGAATCATCAGACACACGAATGTTTGAAATTGATTAATACAAATTCAAAGAAGGAGTACCACAGAAATTTTAGAATTAGATCACTGATATTAAATTATATGTCAACTGTTGCGAATAGTTCATGTCTTCTAGCTTGGTAATCACACTATCAAAGACTAGCCACCAGGGTGGTTGATAAAGCAGGAAACGGTTATTTAGTATGTGAGGCTAGTCCAGTTGAAACGGTTCACATAACTATTTGACGGCAAAGTGTACTGTATTACATGACACCATTCAGAAGGATATCTACACCTATTCCAAAACTTTGTCATTCTCATTAATTTCGAGTTCAGTACCAAATGATGAAATAGTGCAGTGAATTCAATTTAGCCTGTGAGTAAGCTGCTTATCTGCCAGAATACCAGCTATCCTGATGGAAACTTCGGCTGGAGCCAGCTACTAGATGGTCTGACAAGTCTTTCATCCTTATACTCATCACATTTAATATACTTGAACATCAGAATCGTTAGTCCTTCCATCAGAGTTTGCTTTGGCTTCAAATTTCACAGGCACAGTTCACCATCTAAGCCTGGGGAAACACCACAGTTGTTGGTTGTCAGTCTTTCAGGCTAAATATCGACTACAAAAATGATGAGAAGTTAAATTTGTGACCACTTACTCACAGAAAAGAATACTCCCTTAAAATAACAGCAGCTACAAGCACTTGTATTTCTATTGTTACAGTCATCTGCGAACATTGTGTTTAACAAACTAACCTCAGTGTAAAGGGGTGGGAAAGAGCATCTAGAAGGCAACACATTCCGAGTCATAATCTCAAATTCGTGACTTCATTCAATTACAGTCATCTCTAAAACAGTTTCTCAGATTCATGTTGCAGCAATCTCATGTGTAACAATTCACTTAACTGAAATGCGGAGAATTTATGTCAAGTTTGACTTCACCTCTCACTAACTTTCTCAGGCAGATGTTTCGAGTTGACCATATTATGATATCAGTATAATAAGTGTTTATTTACTGTATATTTAGAACCGTTAGATTGGTGGACTTAGTTGGTCTTGATTTTTGAATGTCAGTTCTCCATAAATAGGATATTAGACACATCAGGTCAGACTATATTTTTAAAAGCATACTTGTGCTAATCATGGTATTATCTGCTCATGAAGTGCTGTAGCTTTAGTAGTAGTAGTAGTAGTAGTAGTAGTAATAGTAGTAGATAGGAACAGTGTTGCTAAAAATCATCAACAAGTTACATCTGCATATCATGAAGACGAAAATTCATTTAGATGTGTTTCATTAACAAGGCCCATCGCTGAAATGTACGAGATATTCATCGCTGTCTATCTGTTTCGTGATGTAGATTTAACTTCATCCATGTAGGAGGATCCAATGAAACGCATATTCAACATCCAATGAACACCTTAACATTGTTCTCTTAGTTGTTCATAGTTCCCATAGCTGTTTTTATTCAGTTGCTCATCTTTTCATGTTTAAAATGTCTTCAGCATTTTCGAGTTCATTTGATAACTAAATTGATTATCGTGGGATGTTGAGCAGATGTAGTGAGAGAAACACCTAAGTTTGGCCCCTGATCAAATTCTGACTACATATGGTTTCATCTGATGTGGTAAGTACTCGAAAAAAGTGAAAGTATTCACACCAGGTATTTAGAAATTTCATCTGTCAGCCTCCGTCACTTCACTGACATGAGTATCAGAGAGAGGTAACCCTGATAATCACCATTCGTATTACTGTTGACATTATTATTAGTAGTATTTAAAGTTGTGAGAGTTTGAGTAATGAATATACTTTTATTATTGTGTGGTGATGGTAATAATAGTATAAAGAAATGACAGTGATAACATCTAGTCATCCACTACAAAAAAATATTTACATGGTTATTCTATGACTAAGTCAAATTCCCACGAGACCACACGTCACCATGCCGATGCAACTGTATGCATAGCTGAAGTGTGGCAAAATATGATTCAATAACCGGTATAACAAGGAACCAATGGGTTAGGTACATGTTTTAAAAGGGTGGCGATTAGTCTAACGAATCTCTAAGAATCCCTGAACACTAAGTATTCCAGATCATCTATGGACTCCGAAAGATAATGATAAGAACCACAGTTATGGCGAAACAAGGAGTGGTGAAAGAGAAGACGAAACAGTGAAAAGATGGACAAGGAAAGGAGAATCTGCAGCAAATTACAACGCATGAAATAAAGGAGCGGGAAGGGTGCTGATAAATTCAAGAAGCAATTTTACGATACACTATGGACCGAAATTGAGCAAGGTGCAGGTAAGAGGGACCTCAAATGACAATATCAGATAACCAGGTCTCTATCTGTGGAGAGATCAAGAAAGATGAAACTGATTGAGGATAGCGGAGGGAAGCCTATTACCAAAGAGGACAGATAAATAAATCCATAGGCTGATCGTTTCAACCTCCTACCACCTACATTTGGTCAAGAAATAATATAAACAGCAAGCATAGAACTATAAGTAGTAACCAGTTTTCTTCTGATAAATGCAGAAGTCTCTCATGCCATAGTGTTACAGACAGCTGGGTGGTTGAACTGGACGCGACTCATTCGGAAGCGCTGAAAACGAAGGCCACTGCAGGTATTCTTATGCGATATTTTTATAACGTTTAGAAAAGGGAAAGTAAGGTGCCCACTGATTAAAAGAGAGGTCACCTTGTCAAACTACTGAAGATGGGAAACGTAATACTTTTGCGAAACTGGCGTTGAATCATGCTTCTGCTTACGCCAAGCAAAATATTAATTCGCCTCATTCTTGAGAGAATTAAACATTTTCTGGATGCAAAACTTCACCCGAGCGAAAGTTCGATTCAGGAAGAGGAAGTCATGTGAGGATCAAATTGCAGCTCTAATCATCATCGTTGGAAAGACTATACAATAAAGTTCACCTCTCCAGCTTGACTTCAGATGAGGATGTTAAAGCTATGATACGATGAAGATGGCATGACAGATCTTCATAGGTTTGAAATTAATATGGTTATTAGCCGCATTTAGCATTAGGGGTAATATTCATGTTTTCAACACTTATGCCACTGATTCGATACGGTTCACAGACATGGTGTAGGTAATACAGAAGGTATTTCCAACAAGCCGTGGACTTTTATAAATACAAACCTTAGCTAGATACTAAAGATAGGAGGAAAGGAATCTCTGCAATCAGAAGCCATTTAACCGAGAAATATGTTGAAGAAAATGAATATGGCTTGGAAACACACTGAAGAGACTGCTGAGTGAAATCAGGCACCAGACAAGGCCCTCAAGTGGGGCCCGAATCGGAAACGATGACTTAGGAGTCGGGAGTGACAGGAAGGAGAGCATGTGAGGAGGAGATGAGTGTTTACTGGCTATCATAGGTCTAGATAAAGGGGAATATAGAAAAGAGGATGAAATGGACATATACTGTTGGAGACCTATATTTCATCCGGAACCTAATGCGATATTAGTAGTATTACTGTAAATGAACACACTAATGACACACGGTTTACGCTCTTACACTATCATAATGCTTAGCAAAGAAATACAATAGTCTGTATGTATTCGATTGGTCAAATCATCACTCAACAAACACATAAATTGAATGAGTAAACACGCCTGAGATAAACAACCATCATAATTCAAAATGCAATTAATCCAATGGTTCATTTTAACTATCATTTCCTTGGTGAGCATTAAGGCAGATGGTAATAAAGATTGGACTCTGGAAGACGCTGAACTACTAGCTTTACACAACGCATATCGACAAAGACTAAGGTATGGAAGATTACTGGGCCAACCACGTGCAATGGAAATGCCGGACCTCGTAAGTGTACACACTAGTGTACATAAAAAGCCGTATATCATACTCATCAGTTTGATAACTTACTCCAAATGAAGTTAATTCCCTCCTCACTAACCATGTCGACATCATTTCTTCCAGAGATGGTCCTTCGAATTGGCTAATATTTCCAAGAGTTGGGCGTCAACATGTCAATCCTATCCTAGCAACATAACAATGAGAGGTAGGACACTTTGGACTTATGTCGGTCAGAATGTCGCTGTTTCTACGAATGTGAGAGAGTAAGTTACCCAACATAGACATATTATACCAATTATATTAACATATTTAAGATTAAATTATTATTAAATCGAAAAAACACCTACAGTTATTAAATCTGTCATCCGTTTCCTAAGGAAAGCACCCACCACATTGAAAGTCAAGTATCGATAACTGACAATAATTACATTAGCGCTTGTTGACTGATCATGCATAACCAGATAAAGGTGTCACTCATAGAACCTATGACAGTATACCGCCACATCTACTGGAAGCAGATATTGAACGCATGATTAGCCCACTCAAGTTGTATATTCCAAACAGTGGACGGTGAATCAAGTGGAATCAGGTTGTTTAGGCAATATATTGTGATCCTTATAATGTATCGAAGTATCAGATGACGTACATTCACTCTTACACAAATAAAATTGTGTTCACTGAAGCAAAATGGAACATTAGTGAAGTGATCCCTGATTTCCATATCACAATTTCAGATGATTTCGTTTCTGTATGACACCCAGAGTGATTTCAATTCAATACCCATTCATGCATCGCTGCTAGGAGAATTTTAATTGCACATTTTTTATTTGCATATTCTACTGCGCACACTGATTTCATTAATTCAGAAAATTTGAAATGACCTTCACTCCATCCGAAATATTTATTTCTGCTCCTTCAAATCATTTCTAGAATAGAAGAATGACTGCCTGACTGTGATTCCACGAAGTATGCGGAGTAGTTTGAATGTTGGAATATTTCATACCCATTCATTCAACAGTTTAGTAAGAATCATTTTCTCTAGGTGGTCAGCCTACAAATAATAATTTCAAGGAAGATGCATCGTCACTTCGCCTTCATCTTAATCGAAGTCCAGTTTCTCTCTATGTCCTTTCTTGAAGAAAACAGTTTTAGAAGTCTTAATCTCGTACATGTTTAATCCGTCAGACAAGATTTTCTACACACAGTCCCAGTGATCATGAAAGTCAGTGTATGAATGCCCCATAGTTTCATAGTTCCTTTACATAAACTAGACATCTGAATATCAAATAATATTACTCGAATTATAGTCCATTGAATAAGACGAGTACCTCAAACATCTACTTGGATACTATACCTAGTTTAACAACTACCAAATAAAAATACTTGCTTGAAACCCAAACCGGAAGACTTCACAAGGTAAGAAATATCTGTAAGATGATCATGATCATGTTCATATGAACCACTGAGATTTCTCAAAGAGTTTCAATTCTTTCTTTGTATTGACGACTACCTCCCCATATGTTCTTTCGTTGACAGTGCTGTGGCCTCCTGGTTTAACGAATATTCAAACTATGATTTCCAACAAAACAAGTGTAACGAGAATAAAAAATGCGCAAATTACAAACAGGTAAGTCAGTTTTGTGTGGATTTAACTGACAAATGAAATTCACATCGACACATGTAGAAGTAAAACTCCGCAGTGTGTTACACAGTTAGAAATGAATAACATTGTCACGTTCACCACATGATAATTGAACTCCTGGAAAAAATTGGTGAATATCGTCTTATCAGACTATCAACATCCTCTTTGTAAACAACTCTCGCCTTCCATCTCATCAAATGGGGCGTGAAACAGTTATAAACGACTCTATGCTCGGATGGCTAAATACAAAATTTCTATAATACGTTATTTAGAGCGCATTCTATGTGGTGGAAAATGTGTTAAAGCATGAAACTAATTACTTGCTGAGAAACGCCTTGTTATCTGCCACTTTTAATTCTTATTTCATGAGAATATTGTTGTCACTATTTCCAATAAATTATAATGTTTCGTTGAATTCCCTATTGACATTATTAGGAGTGTAAATGTCTTCCCAATTGTTTCTCTCGTAAAATGTGATGCAGAGGGGAAATTACATGCAATATTGTATTACATGGTGAAAATTAAAACTGACATCGAAACTACTGTCTGAAAAAAGCCACTACCATTATTCTCATCGTGAACAAACGTCAGGGATTTTGAAAATGAATCACATCTGATGGAGATGAATACCGCAACAGATATCGTAGATCTTCGAAGCTGTATAACAAACTTGGGATTTAGAAGAAGTTAACCGTTAGTTAAAAATACAAAAGTGGGCCGAGATATTTCCACAAAGATTACAGTCAATAATTTCTAGTTTACCCCTGTTTTAGAAACTGGGTTTATGTGAACAGGAACGACACTCGACAAAAAGCATCTCACCATGTCACGTAGGAAGCGGAAGATAATTTACAAACTCAACCCTGACCGTTACACTAAACGAGACGTGTAGTAAAGACTGAAAAAAACAGATTGAATCAAATTTTTGCGGACAGTGAATGACCGATATTGTAATAGAACAAAATATACCCTCTTATGACAGAAATGTCGACACAGTAAATTAAGCCATTCATTCGTTGCATGTCATCATTCACACTAAGGTCTTTATCTATGATGCTGACAATAATTACGAGTGTGCAGTAATACGAGACAGCCATCACGCCTCCCATTCGAATCAATAGTAGATTCGTCCCATGAATTTGTTCATCATACGTTCAGTGTTTAAATTCTTTCCATAGAAGATTGGACTGAATCAACTTCGAGGCACCGAGACATACCTTCTCTGTTCGTGTAGCAGTATCCAACAAGGCTTTATGAAATCATGAAGTATTGCTTTCTCCGTCTAACCTGTGTTATTTCTTGCTCAGTATCACCGATGTATCGACCGATTTACCTGTTGTATTCTACTGAAATCAGCACTAGTTTCAAGTGCTCTAATTTAGTGCTTAGGTTTGTGAATAATTGTCTCAGAAAACTGACAAACTGAAAACTTGTTAACCGGACTATTTTTCGCATTTCTATCTCTAAGTAACAAGTATTGTCAGGCTATGCTCACATATGTTTTCTTATCATGGTGTCCACATTTTACAGGTGGTATTTTCACAAACACTGCAGGTTGGATGTGCGCATAAGAAATGCGATAACTTCAAAGCACCTTATAACATTGTTGTCGTGTGTACTTATGGACCAGGGTATGTCAAGTTTTAAGGAGTGTTTTGTGCTCCCATGACCAAGTGTGAAGTTTATTTTTTTTATATTTACAATTTCGCGAATTTATGTTCTTGTAAAACTTCAATGGTGAGGTTCAGTACAAAGAAACTGTGAGAAACATATCAATAACATGTCTTATTCCAATATGGAATAGTCATCAAGCTATGTTCACCCGACAAATGAAACGTAGGTCGATGTAAAACAAATTCGACTTTCTCACTTACGTTTGTATACAGTTCGTAAATTTTACTCTCCACTTGTTTCATGGAATTATGTGCCATGAATTGGGTGATAACTTTCATTGGAGTGAATATATTTATTCACTGAAAACACTTCTGAACTAATCAGATTGTGGATAACCACCGTGAAACTTAATATCATTGTTTACTGGATCACATATGACTTTGGGTCAATGATCTTGTCATTATTACTTAAAATCGACTGATTTGTTCTGATTTCCTGCTATGATGAATTGGACGACCAAGTTGAAATTGTATTTATGCGTTTTTATTCTCTACTTGTTTTATGAATTTAGTGAGTAAGGCGCCGTATATTCCCATCAGTATCATCTAATCTCACATGTCATCTTATTTCGGTAGCTTATTCACTTTCCATGAAAACAGTGCATCAGTTAGTGTGTCCCTTGTGAAGCATATGGAAGATGTGTTGAATGCTCTACTGTTTGCATAAAACCAATACAATTCAATTGACAATTATGCATTCCATTGTGTCACTTTGATCACTTGAAATGCGTCTGTGCTGAAATGCTTTCGAAATCAGTAAATTGAATGACCCACACAAATACGAAAATCACATGAAAGGAAGAACTGGCACAGTTTATAAAGTGGCATACAATGACTATCAACCACAATGATCTGTCGTTGACAATCAGCCTATCATAGAGGAAGACTGCGCTTTGCGTAATATGGTGACTTTTATAGAAATGAACGACTCAAATGAAACTGATTACTAATCATGGACTTAATTCAAACAAAAACCTCACTATTTCGGTGAAGAATAAATTGATGCAGTCAAGTAACTGGGAATTTAAAAAAAGTATACAGGACCAGTAGTGATTTGTCATTGGAAAAAGGTGAAAGAGACGTAAGTTATATGTAAAATCTAATAGAAATGGTAAATAATGTATAAAAGTAGACTATTTTATTGAAGATTATACTGCCAAATATTGAATTTTTAACTTTATTTCTAGTGGTAAATACTTCTCACGAAGACCTTACACAGCTTCCAGTGAACAGCGGGATCAAGTGAATTTGTTTTATGAATACTGATGTATTTTAAACATGGATGGAATTTCTTTCGAAATAAAGGGAACTTGTTTCATATTGTAAATTTCAAATAAATAATTTCATTCCAATGTGACTAGTTTTTCTCCTACCGGTCTCTCTGTATTTGATCCCAGTGAAGTCGTCATCACACAACAGCATGGACTAGCATTTTACAAACCGCATGCACATTGATAAAAAGATGAAGTTGGAGTCTTTATAAGGATCTAGTTGTCTTTAGATAATCTCAGTTTTATGATGATATCCATTGAAGTATACTTATAAGTTCAAATTTTCAATAAACAGTTGGAAGTTATCATCGTATTCACCCTCTAAAATAGAGTTATTGTGGTATTTCCATGAACACATTCAAGTGTTGGTTTTCAGGAAAATGATTTGATTGCTTAAAGGATTTCATTATCAGCAGACAAAGGTTAGTGGACAAATACTCCCCGATGACTTTGGCTAGTGGTCGCTATGTACCATTATTTATCTGCAGTTGGAATTCATAGGTCATAAGATTGGGTCCAAATGGCTTGGTGGTTTACGAGTTCGCCTTGTAATCAAGAGTTCCTGGGTTCGAGGCCTGTGGGCACGTATTGTTAAAGAGTCTAAAAATAGGGCGAAACAGCTGATAGTCCAGTACTGCCTGCAGGTATCCAGTGTTTATCTAACCGAAATCTTGTAACTTATTCGGACCACTTGTGGAAGATCAAATATGAAGCAGTTATAACATAACACGAGTAAGGCAGATTTGCCCCCTATCACCGATGACCTTCCTGAATGTGGGAAAGGAGGAGGCAGACGTGAGTAGGCAAGATAAAAAGCTCCTCGAATATTTGTGATTTTAGGATGAGTTAAACCTCGTTTCTCACAAATCGGAGATTTACAAGGCGTAATTAGAAGGTTGTCAGAGAATGTAATGAAGTTGGGACCCCACATGAACATATGAAAGACAGGGTTGATGAAAGAACCTGACTCAAACAATAATCGTCATCGGTGATATAACTCTGAATCTGCTCAGATTTATCACTGGAGGACGTCATTCTCATCCTGTGAAATAGTATTTCGACTAGTGCCTGTTTGTATTTTATCGCACAGAAGCTGTTCAAGCTCAAGTACATTCCACACGATACATTTTCTCGGTGAATGGATCTTTGCATTGTACCATTTTTTTCCATTTTACAGCGATATCCAGGAAGTGCAGTTTTACATTCACATTATATTCTATCACGGAATCACTGTTTTCATGTCCTTGATCAAAGATTTCGATTCAATCAAATATATGATATGGAAAACAAGATAGGGCGAAATAGTAGGTGACATAAACTGTATTTACTATCATCTTTTGTATTATTCAGCTTTTTGTTCTGTATATTTCTCGCTGATATCGTATGACTCAACCCACAACAAAGCCAGTAGGCTTCATTGTGTCCACCGACTATCCTCATTGCACTTGTCAAATAACGTCGAGATATCCGGGGACTATAATACATCAAACCATGAAGTCCATTTATTCTCACATATGAGGAACGATCTTTCGTATGTAATGACATTATCCTGATCCAATTATTAACAATAATCTCTTCTCACAAAATATCAGATGCTAGGATTGTTCACCATAAAAAGGGTACGATATAAGAAGTTGAAAATGAATACACAAGGGTTCAGTTGAGATGAAATCGAAGTTGGGAGGATAAATTGACTGAAAATATGGTCTGAAAAATGAATATTGCTTTCCATGAATTCTCTTTAGTTTCTCTCAGTTGCAAAATACGTTATTCTTCGTTGCAATAACAGTGAGTTATGCGGTGGATATCATCCTACGTAGTATGATAGAATAGGTCTATATTGTGACAGAATAATTAGTGCTTGTGTGACGATCGTGCTGAGCTGAACGCTTTCACAAAATAATGTTGAATGTAGGACTATAATCATGATAAATGAGAATGGATCAATAAGATTTGCGAAGGAGAATAGAGAAGCTAGTTCAGGTTTGTAAAACGTGTCTAGTGGGTGGATAGGACTAACCAGTATGCTGTAAATAGGAGATATGAAGACTGTGGTGAATAGTTCATCATGAAATATTCGAAATCAGAAATGAAAGATGTGGAGTGGTGAAATGAGAAAATAGATATGATCACGAAAATGAAGTGAGACTACTAAAAGTGAAAATTCAATAGTATTATCAAGATGCTCGAATGAAGGTTATGCATTGGAACAGAATGCAGCTACGGCAGTTGGAACGAAGAGCAAGGGAAATCAATAATAAACCGGGTAGAAAGGAGATATGCGAGAGGGAATCTTGGGGGTGAGAGGAAGATTTAATCGAAATAGGGTCACTTGGTGAACTACTCCGGGATATGAATTGTGAATTAATAACGATCCCTCCCAATTTACAATGCCAAAACGAGCTGACATTGTAAAGAAACTGGAAACAATAACGACGCACAAATCTACATCGGTTAACTCGAATGTATGGCTTGTTCGCTCTTCACACTCAATCTTCTTGCACATATTCTTAGCGGTTTGGAATCAGTTAACGATGGAAAACTTATTGAATTTGTTAATTTTGAGTATGAAAATAATCAAGCCCGGATCAATCAACAATTTGATTTCTGTCCAATGTGAATGATTGGTCATGTACTCAATATAAGTGAAGCATGTGGTTTGAAATAAAAAATATTCATGATTGATTGACAAGTGCTTTTTTGAATTGCTATTTTGGAGAACCGTAGAAAAACCTAGGACTAACAATAAAAATGATGAAAATTATATAGAATTCAAGCCTTCATAGTACTTCAGTATAAAGAAGCAAGGTCAGAAGCCTTATGTAGGATTCTCAACGAGGCTGGAATTACGCTGACAATTAAAACAGCCAACCAACTGCCTCAGAGATAAACGTTGTCGAAATAATGACACAGCAGATCCAATTAAGTGAGAAAAATAATATAATTTACCAAATATCACGTAATGGCAGTGGGGCCGATTACATAATTCAAACTAGTAGATCGAGGTCAACTCGATAATAAGAACATAAAAATTTAGCTAGACCTAGAATAATTGACCCTCCAAAGTTGAATGAACTAGAAGAGAGCTCAATCACTGCACTGCGTCCACTTGCATGTAATCACAAAATATGGTGGGTGGGACAGGATGAGTGCATTGGAAAGTGACACAGTTAGCTGGAGAGGGGGTTTAATCACTGAATCTTTGTTTATCGGATCAACACCGCACACGTGCTATTGGAGTGATGCGACGCCTATACCGGAGATATGGAGAGTTGCAACAAACAACAGAGGGACTGGAAGAGAGAGGGTAAGAAAGTGGGAATACATAAAATAAAAATTGTGAAAACATTTAAAAGACATATTGTGACTCCATTATAGACAAGATTTTATTTTGATAAGTAACATAGTGTTACACAGTAACATTAACTGATGACGTTTCGAGCACAATTTATCGCTGATTATCATATCAAGTGTGACGAAATCTAATGTGATAATAAGCAGCAGTAATTTATGTTCGAAACAGTGTTACCCAGTTGTTAATACTACATCGCTGTGTGACATTTAAAAAAACAATCCAATAAAGAAATAAATACTACCACAGAACTAAACTTTTACAATTACATGAGTGACTGTTAATCTACTTAATATAAGTAAATCATGTGGTTTGTGATAATACTAATAACTAACTGACAAGGAAATCACATGAGATCCTAGATGAATGAAGCTTGATAGCATCAAGTGAAGTTGTGTCACACTCATTGGGAAACAAGATTATATTCCAGCAAAATCATTTCCATAAACTCAGTGCCGATACTGGGTAAATCAAGAGGATTTATAAGAGTACGGATAAGTGCAAATTTGGTTATCCAGAAAATTTCATTTTTGGAAACTAGAACTTCATTACCAAGAGAAGCTTGCGTGTCAGCAGCTCGAAGAAGGCCCTGTTCATAAGACCGCAATTTCCCGATTAGAACGAAGATGAAGTAGTTAAAAAAAACCTAGAGAATTCAGTGAGAAAATGATATTTAATACAGCCGAGTGACATACTCTCCTCACAACCACTCCAAATCAGTGTCTGAGGAATATGGACAAACTGCCTGATTTCACCTCCTCAATGTGTATCGGTCACTTCACCTGATCATGTGGAGCTAGTTAAATCGGAAGTTCAGTAAGTCGTGTTCATCGTCGGATTTCTGAACACGATACTGAATCATCAAGCAGAGGGTGGACGAGGTCTAGTTGTAGTTCTATTGCAGAATACTTTGTGGATACTGGTCGGAAAGTTGAAGTTAACAAGGCATTTGTATTTATCTATCTATCTATCTATCTATCGTATTCTCAATTATCTTAATTTAGACTTGCCTCTTTATTTTCTGTGGAGAGCTGAAGCCATCGGAATCTACCTGAAGAAATCAAAATGTGCACTCAGAATAAATTCTCAGCTTGACTTCACTTCACAAGGTGACTATCAAGAGGGTTGTGCAAAACAACCGATGACTCATATTCTCCTTACTTTTCTCACCTTCACTTTCTTTGCAGAGAGCGTTCAACAACTAACTTCTCATTCAATAGCAGTTTTCACTCCATGAAATTCCGAAGCCCTACATATATTTTTTTGCTGTATATAACCCGACTGTTTAACCGTAGAAAAACGATGAGAACAATTGCTACAGTTACATAGTAATAGACCAATTTACTGAATTTTATATGTGTGAATGCAACTGTACTCCCCTTTAAGATGACTTTGACGATAGTTACAGTAGGAGAAAGTCATAGACATGAAGTTTGACTTACTTCCAACTCATTTCCACGTAAAACGCCCAAACGAGGGGACATTATCAAAAGAACCGAAATAGAACAGACACACAAATGTGAATCGAAAAGCCTAAATTTCTAGATCTTGTAACACATGAAAATCGACCCTAATACATATCCTGGCTATCACTAACAACGAGTAAACAGTCGAAGATCTATCGATAAAAACCAACGAACTCAGACCAAGGCATCATACATAAGCTGCAATATTGTCAATTCGTGAATTCGTCCATTTATTATAAGAGTGCGTTGGGATTTCATGAGGCGGAATCATGGGGAATGACCAGGATTAGATTTCATTCATTAAGTGTCTCTTTCTCCGATATAATAAAGTCACTAAAACATAACCAAATGGTGTTCTGAAAATTAGGTGCCACCGTTATTTCATTTTCAATCTGTAGTTTGCTAATATTTCCCACTTCCATCTGGGAATATCATACTATTTAAAGTTATGAGTAGAATGAATTTCGACTACATAATACATAGCGAAGGAGGATGACTGATAAAGTTTACTTCACAGAGTGTTTTAACACTGTATTTCATATATTAAAATATATAACAAAACATGAACACAAATCGATATGCATATTCTCCACCACAGACCATTTTACACGCACCTCGTCCTTCAACTTCTTCGACGTTCTTGACAGTTCATCCCGAATTTCTTCCGTTCTAGCTTTCTGGTCAGTTGATTTCAAATTCGCTCCTCGTCACAAAGAATGGCACATGATCTGTTGATGTCATACTCACGATTTAAAGTGACTATGCTTCATCCTTCATCTGAACGAGTTATTATTATATCCCGTTACTGAATAGTGCATTCAATTGTCTTATGTGCTCTTTTGATATCATCTGTCGGTGTTTGCATTGTGCTCATGAGTATTCGTACTACCAATGCAGCATGGGAGACTTCGATTCTTCCAGGTCTCAGGAAGACTTCGGAAGTAGATCCTGTGTCCGGGACATGATAATTTCGAACTGTACTTTTTCATGTGATTCGTCGACGCTGGATGAGACAGGATAAATCTTACGGCCAAGAGATACCATTCGTATCTGAATGTCAGACAGATTTATATCCGAATAATTAGACACACACATATCAGCGAGAACTTCATACAAAACGAAATGGCTCGCTGAGATCCTTCACCCAGTGAGATCAAGTCTATGTAAACAACGTCTTTCAGAGTACAGTGACTTCTTCGGTTGCGTTGATCAAACTCATATGACCTGTGAGCATAGGATTTCACTACATGTCTGCTCTTCATTTGTGAATCTACCGTAAGTAGGAACTATTTGTTTTCTGTGTGAATACATCGACCTAGAATGCACAAACATTGGAGTGACAATTAAATATCTAAAGCAGGTCACATTGAGATGTACGCCTGATGTGCAGTTTGGATTTAAATATCTCATCTACAACAGAGAGGATGCATCTGACGTGAGGTCCCCATTAGGACTAGTACTTGCAGATGCCTCCATAGAGAGCATGGAGAGGCGTCTATTTAAGCAGAATATCTCGAGTCTGAATATGAATAACGAATATTCCGACGACACCTTCATTATTTGTGGTGAAAATTGTTCAGCTGCTGAGCTTCCTTGAAAATTTCATACTTCTCACTGATTTATCCTCTTCGCTATCGAAGAAGAGTGGAATTCCGGATTTCAATTCTTACATGTGATGCTGGATAGAAGGGAAGATTGCACGCTCGAAACATCAACGTATCGAGAGCCGACAGCTACAAGTCAGTACACTAACTTCATCAGTTGGATACACTCAGGCAGGAGGAGGAGAGATCTTATCCGTTCTCCATACTGCAGATTACGCGAAATCTGCTCTGTAAATAAAGTCAGTGTACATATATCTAGAAAGCGTTCGCACAACTCTCCTTAATACTGGATATCCTAGGCATTTCGTCGACGGATACATCAATGAAGAGACCGTACTCAGACGAGTAACACTGCCACAGGAGACACTGAAAATGAATAAAGCTTTCAAATGTGACATTTTTTCGGAAGTACTTAAAATTCGTTTATCTAAATGTGTTTAACGCTGCTTTTATGCAGGTAACTCACATCTGGTTTTGACCAGCCAGAATATGATTCGACAACCCGTCAGTTTTAAACAGTCGATTATGTCCACATCTGTGTGCATTTATATATTCACGTGCGCGTATGGAGCTGATTACATTGAACGCTCATGTTTACTTCACATATTCATAGGCGAAACTGTCGCTCTACGTGGACGAAAGCTTAAATTAGGTATTCACAAATGCTTTGTCAAACTCACTTCTCTACATTGATCATAGTAATGTTCGTTTATTTCATTCTATTTTCCCACTTGAACTCATTTCACTTCACTTCATCTTCACCGTCTTCATTGGTATCATCATCGTACACTTGTGTTTTCAGACAACACATGACCTGCCCCTTCAAAATCTTAACACATATTCACTTATTGAATATTCACTTAGAGTTTTGAAATTCATCCACTTCAACTCTACCCCATTAATACATCATTTTAATTATCTCTACTCTTATCATAAGTGCAATATTGACTGAGCCATTTCTAATGACACTTAATGCCATTCTCCGTGATATGAATACGACTGTATAGCTTGAAAATGAAGACTTTGGGAAGAAATCTCTCTCTGCCGAATGAGAAATGTGGATTTCCTTGTAATGTTTGCTCAGTGGAATTCATCTTCTTGATTGTCGATGTCCTTGAAACTATTCTCATTCTGTATGCTAGCATTGTATTTTCTCAATATCAGTTTCATTTGTAATTAGATGATACGTGCTGCACCTGTTACTTTCACGTTCGACTCACTGTCGTCTCTTTTACAGGGTTCATTCTAAACTCTTTCTTCTTATCCAACACATTTGCGAGTCATTAATTTCTGACACTCCAACGCTTCTGAAACTGGTCCGTCGTGGATTTATCATGTCAAGTGGATATACTTTTCAGGGCCTTCAACCTGAACACCTCAATTTGAAACCACTAATTTTATCCGAAATATTGTGCTGTCACTTAGAAGAACCGTGTGTGTTCCGGGTGATAAGCCTAACACAACTGTTCAGCTGGCTTGAACGAAAGCTAGATTACTTGTTGTCGTCGCTGATTTCTTAGAAGAAATATCAAACTCCTACAGCTGGTGCATCGGTTATCTTCATTTCGAGTTCAAGTAGGTGTATAAGAGGTATATCTGGTGTGGATGTTCATATTCAACCGGACAAAACAAGCCTAATAATGAAGGGTATAAACAAGGAGTGTACTTGCATCAATCGCTTTTATTTAAATTTGGAAAATTATAATGGAAAGGAAGGAGGACACATACAAACAGTGAAGATATCGCGACATCTTCTCTCCTCTCATTGGATGGACACAATTCTCTGAGTATTCACCACGCCCAATGAAGTCTTCGGTTTGAAGGTGAGACTCTCCGACTCACTGATCCCTTCATTGAGAAACGAGATAAAAAATTCGGAATTTGAGAATGCACAAATAATTATGAAATTTGAAATATTTTGAACACTCCTCATGGCCATCCACAGGAAGTGCAACGAAGCACAGTGTATTTCAGCTGTGAAGAGTGTCGCCATTCCACTGTTACTCATTCATGACAAATAACAATAGTAACACGGTGCTGACTCACTAATCTGTGTGTTCCATCTCATGTCTGGAATGTTGGCCTAATGCACACGGGTGTTTCCACACACACTCACACACTCTGAACAAATCACACATTCTACAGAACAGTCAGTTTATCTCAGGTATGCGTCAAACATGATCACACAACATCTGACAGATACACTTCACACTCTAAGGGAATTTCCACTGTCACGACAATGTTAAATTAGTCACAAACATCAGTTCCTTGATTAGTGAGCTTACTCAGGAGAGTAATTGCAGACGAACAGCTTCTCGCGACCAGTTGTGATATTTGGACATTTTCGCTGACCACATCCCAAGTATACTGTGCCAGATTGTGCGAGCTGAAATTCAAAGGAAAACAGGTGGTTCATGAAATCACTGGATAGACGTAATACTGTGAAGTGGTTTATTCAATTGTTGTGCTAGGCGAATCGCCTGAGAGAGAGAATGACAGATGTGAACTCACATTCTTGTAACTGTCACACCTTCCAGGCTGTCTGCATGTGTCGGTTGTTGCATTGTAGTTCATGCTCTCCAACGCCCACGTCATCACTGCACTGAATCAAAGGGGTAATTTGTCGGAAAGTGGTCACACTTACTATCCAATGTCTTCGGAGATGGCGACATTCTGACCGACGGTCTTGTTGGTGTTGTTCGTTCTGTCAGTGGGAGTGGTTCGACTGTTGGTACACTTCTGAGCCCATCGGTCAGCCTGACGCGCCAGTGCAACGTCCCAAATCTTGGATGGAAAGAGAGAGAGAGACGTTGGTGAGTGAGTGAGTGGGTGAGTGAACGTGTGTCGAATATATGTCAGTGTTAGCAGAAATCGAGTGTCCAACTTACAAAATCGCTAAGCCTCCCTTGTGGCTGCTGCTGCTTCTGCTGTTGGCCTCCTGTCGGAGGTCGCTGCCAGAATCGGAACGACTTCTTCACGAAATTGTGAGCGAATAAACTCTCGAAGTCGTCATCGGTTAGTTTGACTTTGGCGTGTGCAAGTGAAATGAGCAGAGTGATGTGAACGAGCAGTGAGAGCATTGTTCAGGTGGTCGTCTGTAACTCTGGTGGTTTGTTGTCCAATTTATACCCAGATCATGGTTGGAATTTCCACTTCCACTCGAGTGTGATATCTGTATGTCAATGAGCATAGAATTCTTGTCAGTCATGCTGTGGCATGTGATTATATTTGGTCGAAATCTGTTTCACTCGGAATATTTCTCTCCCTTTATCATTTCACTTGGTGTCATTCGGTTTGGTTTATTGGTTTGCCTTCCAATCCTATTTATTTTGAACATGTCTCCGTTTTCCGGTTACACTGAAACTGCATGAAATCGATGAATGCAGTATTAGTTAATTTGCATTTCACTTTACTGAATCGGCCTCTTGTTTTTCATTCGAGTTTTCTAGGTTTACTATGACGTATATTTTCAATTATACCATTTGGCACGTGCTTCCTATCTGAGTGAGCAAGGGTCAGAAAATTACTCTCATGTAGCTTACACTGAGGGAGTTGAACTTTAAACTATATCCTTGTATGCCCTCAAAGGCAACGGAATCACGTAATTAAGAGGAGAGTCTTGTAAGATGATGAGTGACTAGTTAAGTCGGTAACGGTGTAATGACTGTATCTCAAATCATAGGAAATGGAAACAAGCAGAATTACACCCTTTTAAGGGTGTGTTTTTAAATTCATAGTTTCCGTATTGAAGCGAAGGAGTGTGAGAGCGATATAGATTAGGGTATTTCAGACACCAGGGTAAGGTAAATCTAAAAACTGCTCATTTGTGGACACATGTTTCGGATTTCTGCCGCTTGATGGAGATCTCTTGTGTACAACTTAAGGATAATTGACCTTGTTTGTCTTTTGATAATTTTGAATGATCTAGGCGCATCCACATTTATACATTTGCCACGGAGATGCCTGGTTATTCCACTTTTGAAGGTATTAGTTCTCTGGAGACGTAGGCTTTTCCAAGAATATCTATGTATTGAGATGTATGTCGTTGTTTCTTTTCTTGCAAGGCGACTGCTCCCAAAGTTACACGTAAATTTGTATACGCAGTTGGATTTGAGATGGAATAGCAATCAGTTAAGGGGAAGGATGTCTATCTGTATAGAAACATTTATCATACAATTTTCCTCAATTCCATTCCGGATTTCGATAAATTGACTTCTGGAGACCATTGTTTCTCAGTTGTTGCATGGCAGTGTAAAGGAAAAGGAATTCTCCTTCATTTCCACAGTAAATTCAATATTTATATGTGAGTGGGCGAATAGTCCTGGTGACCGGATTTCCCTACCCTCTATCTCTCACACTGTCCTTCGCTTCATTACGGAAACTACGAATTTAAACACTTACCCTGGAAAACGTGTAATGCTGCTTGTTTCTACTTTCTCTGATTTGATTTGAACTCACTACTCCGTTACTGACTTTACTAGTCATTCATAATCCTACACAACTCTCCTCTTTATTACGTGATTTCGATATCATTGAAAGCATACAAGGATATCGTTTAAAGTTGAACTATCTCTGTAGAAACTACATGAGTGTAATTGTCTGAGCATTGCTCACTGTTATGTACTAGTCGAGTAATTAATAGTCCTGACGCAAGAACGCAGAAATCAGAAGACCACTAGGTTTGCGATGATACTTGTATTTTCCCAAACCAAGGAAAATCAATGTCACACAAGAGTGTGAGAGAAATAGTATGAATGTCCGAATAAGTGTGATAAACAAGTGTGTGAGCGAATATTCGAAAATGAACAAATCAATACACAGTCTTAACATGATTGCTAATTATAATGGAATATCGATCCATATATACATAGCAAAATATAAGAGACTGTCAAACAAACACACATATTATATGGATACATAGCACTCACTAAGATTGGAACGCCGTGTCAACTGTCATCATGTGCAATTTGCAGGTATGATTAGATGTTTCAGTGCATAAACTTAGTAATTTATTTAGGCTGCATGCAGCTGATGAGAATCCGGCGAAATAAATTCTGATACTCTCTTATACTTGACAAACTGTTGCTTTAGCAAAATCCGATAAAATGATATATAATAGGATTTTCATGACAATTATCCACCTCCTCTGAGAACTATCTTCCGACTTTGTTTTGTGTACAATTTCAGCTAATTCTATCAACATGTTTGTATTTCACGTATCTCTTCTGAGGCATTCTGTTATTCAGCGTCACCATTTGACTGATACTCGATCCACATTAATAATTTATAAGCTAATCAATCGACGCCCAGTCATAATTCAGTGAGTGCAAACATCCAACATTGAGGTAATAACCCATCCACCTGAGCCTCATCTTAGAAACGTCTTCCAAAAATGCATACAATCATCGAGGAATAGGCAAACAGAGGAATGGCAGGAAAACGTAACTCTCCTTTATTAAACTTCACGATCTGCTACTTTATGATGTACTCGTCCGAGATCACATCCTATTCATGTTTCAAGAATATTTCCGCGATCACCTGAGAGATGGAGGTAGCCAGAGAGTCATGTTTCATTATCAGAAGCAGTTGATAGAAGCAGGAAAGCACAGAACCCACGAAATTTCACAAAGAATACAACATTTCAAAACAAAACAAAATGTATGCGGGAGCAAAGCGAGAGAACCTCGAATCACAAATCTCAGGCCCATTCATTACAGTGAAATGCAAATTAACTAATACTGCATTCATCGATTTCATGCAGTTTCAGTGTAACCGGAAAACGGAGACATGTTCAAAATAAATAGGATTGGAAGGCAAACCAATAAACCAAACCGAATGACACCAAGTGAAATGATAAAGGGAGAGAAATATTCCGAGTGAAACAGATTTCGACCAAATATAATCACATGCCACAGCATGACTGACAAGAATTCTATGCTCATTGACATACAGATATCACACTCGAGTGGAAGTGGAAATTCCAACCATGATCTGGGTATAAATTGGACAACAAACCACCAGAGTTACAGACGACCACCTGAACAATGCTCTCACTGCTCGTTCACATCACTCTGCTCATTTCACTTGCACACGCCAAAGTCAAACTAACCGATGACGACTTCGAGAGTTTATTCGCTCACAATTTCGTGAAGAAGTCGTTCCGATTCTGGCAGCGACCTCCGACAGGAGGCCAACAGCAGAAGCAGCAGCAGCCACAAGGGAGGCTTAGCGATTTTGTAAGTCGGACACTCGATTTCTGCTAACACTGACATATATTCGGCACACGTTCACTCACCCACTCACTCACTCACCAACGTCTCTCTATCTCTCTTTCCATCCAAGATCTGGGACGTTGCACTGGCGCGTCAGGCTGACCGATGGGCTCAGAAGTGTACCAACAGTCGAACCACTCCCACTGACAGAACGAACAACACCAACAAGACCGTCGGTCAGAATGTCGCCATCTCCGAAGACATTGGATAGTAAGTGTGACCACTTTCCGACAAATTACCCCTTTGATTCAGTGCAGTGATGACGTGGGCGTTGGAGAGCATGAACTACAATGCAACAACCGACACATGCAGACAGCCTGGAAGGTGTGACAGTTACAAGAATGTGAGTTCACATCTGTCATTCTCTCTCTCAGGCGATTCGCCTAGCACAACAATTGAATAAACCACTTCACAGTATTACGTCTATCCAGTGATTTCATGAACCACCTGTTTTCCTTTGAATTTCAGCTCGCACAATCTGGCACAGTATACTTGGGATGTGGTCAGCGAAAATGTCCAAATATCACAACTGGTCGCGAGAAGCTGTTCGTCTGCAATTACTCTCCTGAGTAAGCTCACTAATCAAGGAACTGATGTTTGTGACTAATTTAACATTGTCGTGACAGTGGAAATTCCCTTAGAGTGTGAAGTGTATCTGTCAGATGTTGTGTGATCATGTTTGACGCATACCTGAGATAAACTGACTGTTCTGTAGAATGTGTGATTTGTTCAGAGTGTGTGAGTGTGTGTGGAAACACCCGTGTGCATTAGGCCAACATTCCAGACATGAGATGGAACACACAGATTAGTGAGTCAGCACCGTGTTACTATTGTTATTTGTCATGAATGAGTAACAGTGGAATGGCAACACTCTTCACAGCTGAAATACACTGTGCTTCGTTGCACTTCCTGTGGATGGCCATGAGGAGTGTTCAAAATATTTCAAATTTCATAATTATTTGTGCTTTCTCACATTTCGAATATTTTTTTTCTCGTTTCTCAATGAAGGGATCAGTGAGTCGGAGAGTCTCACCTTCAAACCGAAGACTTCATTGGGCGTGGTGAATACTCAGAGAATTGTGTCCATCCAATGAGAGGAGAGAAGATGTCGCGATATCTTCACTGTTTGTATGTGTCCTCCTTCCTTTCCATTATAATTTTCCAAATTTAAATAAAAGCGATTGATGCAAGTACACTCCTTGTTTATACCCTTCATTATTAGGCTTGTTTTGTCCGGTTGAATATGAACATCCACACCAGATATACCTCTTATACACCTTCTTGAACTCGAAATGAAGATAACCGATGCACCAGCTGTAGGAGTTTGATATTTCTTCTAAGAAATCAGCGACGACAACAAGTAATCTAGCTTTCGTTCAAGCCAGCTGAACAGTTGTGTTAGGCTTATCACCCGGAACACACACGGTTCTTCTAAGTGACAGCACAATATTTCGGATAAAATTAGTGGTTTCAAATTGAGGTGTTCAGGTTGAAGGCCCTGAAAAGTATATCCACTTGACATGATAAATCCACGACGGACCAGTTTCAGAAGCGTTGGAGTGTCAGAAATTAATGACTCGCAAATGTGTTGGATAAGAAGAAAGAGTTTAGAATGAACCCTGTAAAAGAGACGACAGTGAGTCGGACGTGAAAGTAACAGGTGCAGCACGTATCATCTAATTACAAATGAAACTGATATTGAGAAAATACAATGCTAGCATACAGAATGAGAATAGTTTCAAGGACATCGACAATCAAGAAGATGAATTCCACTGAGCAAACATTACAAGGAAATCCACATTTCTCATTCGGCAG